GCTCCGCCTGGGTGCGGAGGGGGTCGGAGGGCGGGGAGCGAGGTAGCGAGGAGGAGGGGGAAGAGGAAGAGCTGGAGATTCGGCTCACAACTGGGGCGGGCCCCTGAGCTACGGCGGGTATTCCGGCCAGCGTTTTGAGGGCTGCATAGGAGTTCGTTGCGGAGCGAATTCGAAGGACAAGGCATCTGGCAAGGAAGGTTTCCAGAGAGGCGGGTGATTTGCGGAACGGGTTTTGTGGGATGATGTAGCGAGTTCCCGGGGGAGGATTGAGGGAAAAGGGCCAATTCTGGGCCGCTGAGGAAGCTTCCCACAGAACGGCAGGGTCATTTGGGTTGGGGTTTTGAGGGATGCCTGTACAAGTTCGCCAGGAGATGAAGCCTTCCCAGACAGGCAGGGTGGATGTGGGGGCCGGGTTTTGGGGATGGTGTAGGAGTTTGCCAGGAGAGATTTGGAGGGGAAGGCCCATCTGGCTTGAGCCTCACCCAGAGGTAGGGATATTCAGGCCGGGTTTTGACGGTGCGTCGAGTTCGCGGGAGCCAGATGGAGGAAAGGGCAATCTGGGCAAGGGAGCTCCCCATAGAGCATGCCTGATTTGGGCCGGGGTTTGAGCATGCGTAGGAGTTCCGTTGGGGCCGATCTGAGGAAAGGCGAATTGGGGGCCAGGCTTCCCAGAGACCGGCAGAGGTGATTTGGAGGGTTTTGACGGATGTGTTGAGTTTGCCAGGAGAGATCGAGGGAAAGAGCCCATCTGGGCAAGGGAGGCTCCAAGTGGGGCAGGGTACTTGGTGAGTTTTGAGGCATGTGAGGCGTTCGGCTGGGAGAGGGCACGCTTCCCAGAGAGCAGGGTATATGGGCCGGGTTTTGGAAGGGTGCGTTAGGAGTTCGCTGGGACGAGCCCCAAGGAGAAAGGCCAATCTGGGCAAGGGGGCTCCCCAGGTTCGGGACAAGGGTACTTGGGTTGGGTTTTGAGGGGCGTACAAGTTGTTGGGGTCGAATTGAGGGAAAAGCAATCTGGTGAGGAAGCTCCCAGAGCAGCGGTCATCGTGGGCGGTTTTGAGGGACGCGTAGGGGTTTGCGGACAGATTTGAGAGCAAAGGCAATCTGGGCAATGAAGCTCCCAAGGTAGGGGTAATTCGGCGGCGGTTTTGAGGCATGGTGTAGGAGTTCGCCGAGAGTAAGAGCTTCCCGAGAGGCAGGAGGTAACGTGGGCGGGTTTTGAGGGGATGCATAAGAGTCCACCGGGGAGAGCTGCGAGGGGAAAGCCAATCTGGGCATGGAGCTTCCCAGAGGAGCAGGGGTAATAGGGGCCGGGTTTTGAGGCATGTGTAGGAGTTCGCCGGGAGCGATCCGAGGGAAAAGGCCGATCTCTGGGCAAGGAAACTTCCCGGAGAGGCAGGGGTAATCTGGGTCGGGTTTTGAGGCGTGTGTAGGAGTTCTCCGGGAGCAATCCGAGGGAAAAAGCCAATCTGGGCAAGGGAGCTTCCCAGAGAGGCAGGGGTCATTAGGGCTGGGTTTTGAGGGATGCATAGGAGTCCGCCGGGAGAGACCCAAGGGAAACAGCCAATCTGGGCAATGAAGCTTCCTAGAGAGGCAGGGGTCATTAGGGCTGGGTTTTGAGGCGTGCGTAGGAGTCCGCCCGGGACGAATCCGAGGGGAAAACAGCGTCCTGGGCGGAAGCAACTCGCAGGACCCAAAGTGCAGAGCTGCGAGGGGGCGTCATGAGGGCGAGGGGGAGACCCTTCCGCCCCGCACACACCCCCAACCCGCCCCGGAAAAGCCAAGACGGAGGCCTCCTCCTCCTCCCTGGGCCTCCACGGACCTCACTGGAGGCTGCCAATCCTCCTCCTCCTCCTCTTCTTCCTCCTCCTCCTCCGGGAAGACTTCCGGGGCACAGCCCGGCCTCCGGCCCGGCCTCCGCTCCTGGGGTCCAGTCACGGCCCGGGCCGTCCCCGGTGGTGGGGTGTAGAGGCCTGGAGGGGAGGCAGGGAGGACAGAGGACATCGGACTCGGGCTGGGTGACCCCGGGTGGGTCTCTGTCCCTCTCTGGGCCCCTGTCCCCTCCCGGCTTCCCCCCAAAACTCCCGATATCTCCTGGTCGGTCCTCTCCTCGCTCCTCTGCCTGACGCCCCGGGGAGGGGTTAGTCAGCCTCCAACCCCGGCCTCCGTTTCCGGCTTCACCTTCCCGGCCTCCTCTTCCTCAGCCTCCTCCTTCATTCCCAGCCTCAGATTTCCCGAGATCCGGGAAACCGGTTTGCTCAGGGACGTGCCCTTCAGCGTGTTTTTTTCGGTTTTTGGGTTTTTTTTTTTTTTTTTTTTGAGACAAGAGTCTCTCGCTCTGTCCCAGCCTCGCCAACTCCTAGCCTCTCAGCGATCCTCCTGCTCGGCCTCCCTCCCGAGTAGCTGGCACTACAGGCACGCGCCGCCACGGCCAGCTCGTTTTTTTTTCTGTATATTTTTAGTGTCTTTGGCTAATGTTCTTGGAATTTTGAGTAGAGACCGGGGTTCCTGCTCCTTGCCAGTGCTGGAGTTTCGACCTTCCCTGACCTCGAGCGAGCCTCCCTCCTCGGCCTCCCAGAGTGCCGGGATGACGGCGTGAGCCGCCAGCGCCGGCTCATTTTTTTTCATATTATACTTTTTAAGTTGTCAATTAATTCTTTCTATTTTTGAGTTCTCTTGCTCAGTGGCGAAACAAATCCGCTAAACTGGCAATCAGAGCGAGTCGCTCAGCCTCCCTCCTGAGTAGACATGGGATAAAAAGCGTCGCGCCTCCACGCCGGCTCGTTTTTTTCTATATATTTTTAGTTTCTGGCTCATTTCTTTCTACTTATTATATGGTTACTTGCTCAGCGCTCTGATCCTGATAAATAAAACGAGCCGCGTAAAAAAACGAAACATCGGCAATAAATCACAGAGTAGCCTGGAAAAAAAAAGAAACTTTGATCGACGGCCACGAGGGACCGACCGCTTCTCACCCCAGTCCACGGTGCCCTACCAGTCGGGAGCCATCAGCGACCCAGCGGACGGGGATGACACTCAGGCGAGGCCCCGAAGGAGGGCGGCGGGCGCAGCTATTCTCGGCCGTGGACAGCGCCGTGGAGTCCTGGGAGGTGGGCTCCCGAGGAGGCTTCGGGGTCCAGGTAACGCCGGCGGCGCGTGGGAGCGTTTGGAGGTCGGAGCGGGAGCACTGTGCCGGGGAGTCCTCAGGGAGGCCCCGGCCTCCTTCCCTGCCCGTGCGCGTTTTTCTTTAATTTTTTGAGACCAGAGTCCTCACTCTGTCGCACGGCCGAGTGAGCGCCGTGCGTCGGCCTCACTCCACAGCGCCTCCGATCCAGGCCTCCAACCGAGCCTTCCTGACTCGGCCCTCCCTCCCATAGCTTGAGACGACAGGCGTGCCCTCCACGCCCCGGCTCGTTTCTATATATTAAATATCAGGCTGCCAATTAATTTCTTTCTATTTATGTTAGAGACGGGGTCTCGCTCCTTGCTCGGTTGCTGGCCTCCACTCCCGCCTCGAGCGAGCCCCTTCTCGGCCCTCCCAGAAGCTGGCCGGGTGACAGGCGTGAGCCTCCGCCGACCGGCCAGCAAGTGACGACCTGGGGGGCTTCAAGGAGGAGCGTCCGAGTCTGGTGTCTCCTGCCCTCGTGACCCACGAGCCACGGGGAGTCCGACGGCCCCACGGCAGCCTCCATGGGGAGGTTCGAGGCTCCCGCTGCCCCGGGCTGGGTCCCTAGCGGCTAGCAAGCAGAGAATTCCACATGCCGGCGTGGCGGCTCACGCCTGTCGTCCAGCACTCTGTGAGGCGACGGAGGCTCGCCTCGAGTCGGCCGAAGATCGGCAGGCCAGCCTGAGCAAGAGGAGACCTCCGTGCCTCCTCTAAAATAAGAAAGAAATTAATTGGCCAACTAAACATATATAGAAATAATGACAGCCTGGGACGTGAGGCGCACGCCTGTAGCCCCCAGCCTCTACTCGGAGGAGGAGCTGAGCAGGATGGCCTCGCTGGAGGCCCTACGCAAATTGAGGCTGCTGTGAGCGAGGCTGACGCCACGGCCGCTCACTCCAGCCCGGGCGACAGAGCGGAGAACTCGTCATCAAAAAAAAAAATATGAATATATATATATATATTAATTAACAAACAAACAAACAAAAAAACACTGAGCCTCCATCCCGGGTCCTCCAGGCGCTCAAATTCCGGAGGAGGGACCTGACCAGGCGAGATATTCAGGAGTTTTGGGGGAAGCCGGGAAGGGACAGGGGCCCAGAGAGGACAGAGACCCACCCGGTCACCCAGCCAGGTCCGATGTCCTCTGTCCGCTCCCCTGCTCCCCTTCAGGCCTCTACACCCACCACCGGGGGACGCCCCAAAAAAAAA